AAAACACGTTCAATCATCAATGCGCTAGTCCTGTGCAGTGAACCCTTCCCAGGGTGTTTTTTGTTTTCGGTTTGTTTTATCCCGTTCTTATTTATTCATTCATTATTATCTCTCGAAGGGTGCGTAGAGAGAGGGCACGGTGGCAGACAACGCTTATCGACACTAACGTAGACAGACAAATGTTACAGATTATTATTTAGTTCAAGATCGCTCACGCCATAGAACTGATGGAAGCAAAATGAATTACATCAAATATACTGTCTATTAAATGTCAACCAAATTCAACACCGAAAAAGTACTTGTAATTCATGTTTTGATCGCACACCTGCCTCTCTTTCCATCCACTCAAATTTCTTTCAAAATTAAACCGGATACGAGGCCTTCGTTGTGACGTCAACTAGAAAAGAGTACGTGGCAAAACCCCGTGGCGTATTATGGTCTACAGTCTTCTGCGCGGACATCCTTACCGCCATTTCTTCTGCTGTCTCTTTATTCCAAACAAGATGTCTAAGTCTTCCCAAGCGGGATCGTCGCCTTACAGCGAGTACATAAGCAAGGCAGAAGATATTGCCGATCAGATCCTTCGAAACAGCAAACACGTGCTTCCTCATGTCGCGCGATTCTGTTTGATTTCGACTTTCTTCGAAGATGGCTTTCGTATGTGGTTCCAGTGGGATGAACAGCGTGACTACATGGATCAAACGTGGCATTGTGGAACAGTCGTCGGAACCTTGTTCGTTTTCTTCAATTTAGTCGCCCAGTTAGCGGGTTGTGTAATGGTGTTATCCCGGCAAAAAGTGGAAATCGCCGTGGGAATGTTATCTTCTGTTATTGTAGTCCAAGTAAGTGTTGCCTCTGTCGTGTATACCTTTTTTATTTATTTTTTCCCCCTCAAACTCGTCTATACGTCTCCAGAAGATCACTCAACAAAGAGTGATTTCTATGTATGGTGAATCTGTCTTTATAATAGCTATTTTAAATACTTGTTTCTTATTTAAGTCTCTGCAATATCGGGTTACATCGACTCGAAGAGGAAACTAATTGTAAGGAATTATATCTCTTTCATTTTCCTCTGTCGAGTGCCTTTGAGAGATCGAACTGTATAATCAATAATTTACGGTAATTTAATGCAAACCTAGAATTAAGTTCTTTTTGCGCTCCCACCCAAAATTATTAATTGCTCATTTCATTTTCTTTTACAGACTCTCGCATACAGTATCTTGTGGGATTTCAAATTTTTGCTCAGGTAGGATAATGTTACTATTTGTTCTTTATCTGGCAATTAGTGGAAAGATGCACCTATTGTTTAACCATTAAGCTTCTTGCTTAAGTTTGTTTCCTCTGATTCACTATTTATGCGTTGAAACAAATAAAAATGATTTTGAAAGGAATATTTTTCATTGACTGGCTCCAAGGCCTTTCACGCTCAGGAGTGACCAAAAAATGTCTCCTTGCAAAATCAATTAATTTTCAAACAAAAGTTGATAAGAAAGAAAAAAAGTAACAATTTGGGGATATATGAATAAAGGGGGTAAGGTTCCAAAGAAACTGTGGTGCTGCATCAGTTGTAAAGTGTAACAGGGTAATCAAGTATTATTAGCTGAGTTGATAACGTAAATTGGCCGCAGTAAAGAGTTTTACGTCATCAAATCAGTTGATAATACTTAACTACCCTGTTATTTGGGGATATAGTTTTATTATTTCCCAAATTCTGCACTTTTTAGTATAAGAAATGTATAATAGACAGTGCAAATTGCCATAACCTTAGAAGTGAAGGGATTATCCCATTTGCTGACAAAAGTGACTAGCATGCAGCTGTTCATCTCAATATCAAGGCAATAACAGGAAGAAAGGTGATAGAAATTGACAAACTTATCAGCTTGACAGAGTTGTCCTCTGCTGACACTAATTTTGTATCTTGGATACAAAAAGTTATTGCAATGTTTTGACGTCTCCATTTTTATTTTCTCTCTTTCTTTAGAAACCTTGCTCTTGCTGGTGCCTTGTTACTTCTCTTGGCTGAATCTCGGTCTGAGCAGAAGAGTCTGTTTGCGGGAGTGCCGACCATGGGAGGGAACACCCCTAAAACATACCTTCAACTAACTGGTCGCGTTCTTCTTGGTTTCATGTTTGCAACCCTGATAAAGTTAAGATTTTCTTTCGTCTACATCTTGCAAGACGTATTTGGTACAATTCTGATGGTCCTTGTGGCTGTAGGGTACAAGACCAAACTTGCGTCATTGGTGTTAGTGCTTCTTTTGGCCATAATCAATGTTTATCTGAATCCTTGGTGGATGTACCACTCCCAGTCACCATTGAGAGATTTCTTAAAGTACGACTTCTTCCAGACCACTTCAGTTATTGGTGGTTTGCTCCTAGTTGTTGCCCTTGGCCCTGGTGGAGTTAGTGTTGATGATTATAAGAAGAAATGGTAAATACATCAAAGGACATTAAAGTATACAATTTTTTTTCCCTATCAATGCAAGTGAAGTCTAAAACTATCTGGATTACAAACTAAAGACGTAGCTTCTTTATACTCCTTTATAAAGCCTTGCACTACATTTGATACATGTTAGCCTTGAATCTGGCAGTATATCATTAGTTGATGCGCAAATCTTTCACTAAATTTGAATTTTTTTTAAATTCTGTTCTACGTGTGTTAGAACTGTTGCAAGAAATTAGAATTGTAGCCATGTTAGAGCTGTATTGCCAAGGTTCCAATCTGCCTCTCAGTGTACAATTTGTTGAGGCATATTGTAACAGGTACTGTCATTTCCTTTTAATTTTAAAACTAGGAGATTTACGTACAGAAGTGTATTCTTAAGTTGTGTTTGGGTAATGATTGTCTGTCAGTCACAGCTCTCTGTTTACACTTCAGACCTAAATACAGAGTTATATTTTCCTTCTTCTGAGGTGTCTTTGATGAGTAAGTTAGATTATTGTTTTGCTTTGAAATCTATTAGTCATGGAGTTTGCAAGTTTGTCAACAGACAAGAACTGAATTTTTTTCATATATATTTTTGTTGTTTCAGCACAGATAACATTTACTAACCCTGTGTGGTTTGTCAAAAGATTTGCCTTTACCCTTTAAATCCCTGAAGTGATTCACATGAAACTTCTTCCATTAATATTCATACGCTATCCAGCAAACAGGTATTAGAGTACTCAAATGTATCAGGTAGAAGGTTTTATCCAGATCTAACACCAAATTCTATTATTTTATTTACAAGGAAATGTGTAGTCGCCAGAGGGGAGAATTAACAATCTAATCTTAGGAGTTAAAGGGTTAAGGCTGAAGTGGTTATCTTGGTGGGATTTGATTAACTGTTTGCAGAAGTAACTTGTAGTTTATTATTTATTTTGCAACAAATCTATGAAACATGAATCAGTGGAATATTTTTCTAGCAGAATTACAAGTGATAATTTTGTAGTGGTAGACTCTCAAAATGAACATTCAACAAACCCTAACAAAAGAGTTGTAGACTGTAAACTTAAAAAGAGTGCTGGTTTTGAAAGTTACTCTGATTGAATCATGGTGTGATCTATTGGCAGACTAACAATTTAGGATTTAAAAAAAGTGCTGTGTAGTGTTGTGTGCTCCACAATAACATAGTGTGTCAGAAAGTTTTCAATGAGAACTAAAGTTAAATACTACAAGTGTTTGTCTACTTATTAATAAGAATATGTCTCCAAAAGATAGGAAGGAATTTGTTGCTAGTTATGCTCGTATGAATACAGCTTCCAGTTTGCTTTCCAATTTTAAGAGTTAACTCTGATAATAGTCCATTAACCCATTAACTCTCATGAGTGACCAAGACAGTATTTCTCCTTACAGTAATAATACAATATCAAGCAGACAGATGATGAGAATAAAGAAAAATACAAATTTAGGAGCTGATCAGTTGATCCAATACTAAATTATCCTAACTAACATTATAAGAATTGTATGACTTACAGTAAGGAGAATTAGTAATGAAATCTTGGGAGAGAAAAGGTTATAATCAGTAGAGAGTTCATCTAGATACAATCCATGGCTAGAGGAAATTCATTGTAGAACTCATCCTTCCTTATTAAAATTGTTTCTTTAAAATTCTTTATTAATTCAAAAGGTAGAAGTAGAAGATAACCTCTTTGAGATCTTGATTTGTTGAAGGATATATTTTATTTTTTCATACTCTGTATTCTCTTAAAGAGAGAGAAATTTGCAATTTGTTTGCTATGAATAATTAAATATTAGGTCTTAAACTGCTTCATTGATGGAAAATTTAGCACCCATATTGATCAATTGTAATTATCACAGACTATAGAAATATCTTGTAGAACATCTCTTACACTGGTCAGATCAATTTAATTCTCCTTCAAAACAATCAAGAAAGCTAACTCTGAAAGTTGTAAGGTTACTAATAAACATAATTTATAGTTTGATTATTTTTGCAATATCTGTTGTTTATTGTATCATGTAAAGGTATTCTAACCGGTTGAAAGTAATTTCAGTTGCTGTAGAGAGCACAATTGACTACTCTAGAAGGAACATCACAATGAAAATGTCATTAAAATAGAAAAAACTTCCCATGATTTTCACTGGTCTGATTCATCTAGTTAGTAATCAGCCGTCACAAAGAAATTTTGCAAGTGGCCCTAACAAAAATTCCTGTAGTTTTATTTACTTTTTCTTTTCTTGTTTGTTTGTTTGTTTGTTTTTTTAAAGATTCTGGAACAGCTAGACCTAGTACATGAATCAAGATAAATATTTCAACATTTTAAGTTTTTACATGAGCTTGAAAATAGTGAATTCTAAGTTGAAAGTTACACCTAAGAGAGTGGAAATTTACAAAATCTCACTGGCCACATGATGTCTCTTATTTTCTTGAAAAAACTCAAAGGAATTACAGTAACTGTATAAAATGATCCAAGCAGCAAATTTCTGCACTTTATGGAATTATGTCTGTAAAAGTAGTCTGCTGATGAACACCTCACTGTATGTTTTCTTCTAGACTATAGGCAAGCCCCTCCTATTTGGGTGAAGTCCAAAAAGCAAGTTAAGAAAAAAAAGCTAATTTTTGGTGACTCCTACATGGACTTTGCCAAATAGTAAGGACTGCACTTAGTTTAAATCTTTTGCCATTAAGGTTAAAAGATAGCAAGTAAGCTTATCAAATGAAAATCCTATTTGATCATTTTTAAATTTCTGCAATTAGAAGACTGAAATTACAAATTCACTTAGTGATGAGTTGAAGGAGGTCTAGACTAAAGTCTAAATACAACATATTTTTCCCTGGAGTTGGCTGTGGTACACAAAGCAGTGACATACAAGAAGCCTGCCATCTCATCATAATACATGCACTTGACATTGTATGGTGCTTCTCTAACTTCAAAAGCCTTTGATCCAATGATTTTCATGTTAAGTAAATCCAGTAATGACAGAGTGGATTCTGATGCTGTGCAAAGATTTCTTCCAATAGTCAGGGAGAGTTCTGCTGGGTGTTTAGAAACAGCAACTTCTTTTAAGTTTCCCAAATTGATGACTGACAGTTTCTGATCAAATGCCACAAGTAAATTGCTGTTCAAGATGTGCATTTGGGTAACATTCTGAGGGGATTTGATATCATGCAGGCATATGAATTTCTTCAAGTCCCAATACTTGATTGGTCCATTTACTTCAGTGGAGAACAAATGCCGATTAGAAACAGCCAAGGCTGAAATGGGTGTATTGTGCCCCTCAAGGGTGTGGTGTAATTCAAATGTGACCCTGTCCCAAACCTTGATGGTACAATCAGTGGAACCAGAGAATATGTGCAAGTCATTCAATGCTAATGACTTGACTGACCCTTGATGACCAGTCAGAATGTGCAAGCACTTGCAGGATTTTGCATCCCAAATAAGGATATTCTTGTCAAACGATCCAGAAACCACATGGCACCCAGCCACAGCTAGGCATAAGACGACCCCTGCATGGCCAACCAACTCTGACACAGAACCAGTTTCCAGATCTAAAGATTTGATGGCATTGCTAAGAAAAGCATCACTTTCGCCTGAGGCGGCAACTTGCGTCTGAGCGAAGAACATCTTGTTCTCCACGACTACCATGCTAATGGGCGTACCAAAACCCTCTTTCAAAGTAGTGAGCTCCACATGACTACGTAACAGGATGAAGTCCGTCATGGGGTTCACCAGTCTTCCTTCGACATTGATATGCGAGCATTCACTCTCTAAATATTTACTACTGCTGGTTTGATCTGTGACAAAATGCCAGACACAACGGTTAACCTCCGAAATTTTACCCAGCATTTCCTGCCTTGCCTCGTTGCCTCCCCAACGCCATTTTGTACCCATTTTCTGTGAAATCTGAGCACAAGAAGCGTTCGCGACCATAGGAAGGGAGTTCAGGCGAGATACGTACTTCATACACAAAGAGGCAGCGACGTCAGGTTTCGCAACAAACTCGTGAATGGCAGACGCGATCATGATTTTAGTTGCCAAGATTTTGTCGTTCAACTCCTTCACCACGCCAAGGGCAACTTGAGCTGCATCTCTCGCTTTGTTGAACTCTTTTCTTGCTTCTCCTGGGTCATCGTTCAAGATTTCGTAAGCGTTCTCCATTAACGCTACCGCAGCTACAAGCTCTTTCCGTCTCAAGGCATCGAGTTCCTCATGAAGTTTGCGGAATTCGCTCAATAAGAGTTGCCTTAACTTCTCATCGGTTGGGTTTCCAGTTTCCAATCTAGCGATCGCTCGATTAGCGATCAGTCCCCATACTAATTTCAAGGAGATTCTTACCAAAACTAATTCGGCCATTTGTTTTTAGTGCTGGTTAGCCACAATATACCTGTCTACGTGTTAAAAGGCCTTCGATCATCAAACCCAGAGGTGACTGGAGACTAAAACACTTTGGCGGCGGCGAGGTGGGGGGGTGAGTAATGTATGATACTTGATGAGAACTTCTGATTTAAACAAAAAACAGAGAATTAAAGAAATACAAAGCAAGTTAAATTGAAAAAATCAAATAAAAAACACAAACATCTTCTTAATAGTTTGTATCGAAGGGAAAAACTGTAAAATATAATCTCTCTCTCCAGTCTCCCCACTAAAGAACCACATCGTTTGACAGTGCGTTCAAATAGACTGGGCTTGAGGTGAGGAGAGTTCGTTTTAGATTTGTGGAAGATGTTATGTTCGAACATCATGGCGAAGTTCTATGCATTGGCAGCCGTTTTCCTCCTTCTGCGTTACACTGCAGTGGCAACTAGAGATAGCAAAGAGCAAATCAACCACGAGTGCAAACCTTTTCCTTATCCCTTCTTCGACGCTGTTCCATTTCTTCTCGATTTGATTCGTTGGTTCTTATGGTTCTTCCGCAGTTTGATGAACGCAGTTTATTTTGTACTCGATACTGTAGTTATCACTGCCTGCCAGATTATCTCCAACGTCTTTAGTGGTTTCAAACACGCTATCAAACTGGTGGAGTATCTCGGCTACTGCGTTCGAGTGATCTTGCAACTGAACTACAACTTTGTGTCTTCCATTTTCGCATGTCTTTCCAGGATCGCTCAGTACATCAAAGATACAGTTACTTATGTTATCGACGGGACAGTCAACGTGGTATATTCTACATTTCGCTTTCTATTGAACCTTATTCGCGGTATTGTATCTATAATCCCTACTGGATTTAATCAAGCCTTTCGCAGTGCATCCCTCGCGAAGAATGCCACTGGAGTGCTTCTTCACAGGTCTTACCTCGGATGGAAGTACATTTTAGGAACTCCTAGCACAGCCCTGACAACTATTGTTACAAGTATAAGGGTTGTACTTGAGTGTGCATTAGTATCAATCTGGAACACAGGTGTACTATTAGTTGATCTGTTATGGGCAATTACAAGATCAGTTTTCCGTGGAATCGAATTCGTTGGGAAAGCTGTGCATACTTGTTCAGTTTCTTGCTACCAAAACTTGATAAACTTTACGAAGCTGCTTCTCGATGGCATGCAGTCTTTGTTGATGGCAATAGGAAAGTGTTTTCTCTGGATGAGTAACACATTTGTGTGTTTTATAACTTTTATCTTCCAGCTCTTTGTGCAAGGATTATATAAAATCTGTTTTACTATTGTATGGCTAATTAATCAAGCTTTTTCACTCACATGTACTGTTTTTGATGTGATAAGTACTTGGTTTCTTCTTTGCCTCGGGAAGCTTTACAATCTCATGACTGCTACAGCACATTGCATTCCAGGTGGCAAGTGGACTCTCCTGAGTCTTGTTTCAACCACATTTTTACTTGCCTATTTATGGTCTGTGTTGAAAATAAATGTGTTTGCTAGGGCATTTAGACTTTTGGAAAACTATATTCAAGCTTTTTTAGCCTTTCTTACCACCCTACAGGGTCCTGACATTTCAAGATTAAAACAGATTTTCACAACTCAAGAGCAATCACACCATTTTTCTGCAGATGAAAAAGACAATGGACTTAGAGAAGAACTCGAAAAAGAACGTGACAAGAACCTTTGTGTTGTGTGCCAAACAGAGAATAAGAATATTGTCGTCATGCCATGCCGTCACATGTGTATGTGCAAGAGTTGCTGCACACAGCTTTTTCGTCATCAGAGATATGGCAGACAGACTTGTCCCTTGTGCCGTCACACTGTCACATCAACTCTAGAAATTTACTCCTAAGTGGTGGTATATTTGCACTTCTATCAGGTGCATATACTTGTATCAAGTAAAGGACAACAATTATGATTCCTAGGATGAAATGTCTTCAGTATGAAGCAGGAATGACAGGAAACTTTACCCACGATAGGTTACCGCTGAATTGGTGCAATTACTAACATCTGGACGACATGAACTACTACATATTCTGTGAAACAGTTCTCTCTAAGAATTATTTTGGTTGTTTGAGAGGTCTACATTGTATTCCTCCATCAAGTGCAATAGTTGCACTGCTCCCACAAAATCAACAGCAATTAGAATAAGCCTACAGCAATTTTTTTTTCACTGTTTTTAATGTTCAATATCTGAAACATTTTAAGGAATAGGCCATTTTACAGTTGTGTACTTAGTTGCCAAGCCTTTGATTTGAAGTGAGGCTGAAGGTGACCTTGTTGTGATAGAGACCAGTATCCAATTAGCATGATAACAAAGTAATTTGCATTTGAAAAGCAGCAAGGTTTGTATCATAACAAGGTCACCCTTAGCCTCATTCCTGTTCAAAGGTTTGGCAACCAAGCGCACAACTGTAAAATGGACTATTAGTGCAAAGAAAGAACTAACCCTAAACTTGGACAGCAAAATATGTGAAGTATCTTTCTTGGAATTCTTTCTTTTTAAATCACAATTCTCAGTTCAAAGCTATGTGGAAAGAAAGAGATAGCAACAATATTAGAGATGTTCTGTTATTATTGTTATCAGTAAGGTAGAGAAAACTTTGAATATTTCTTCAATAAGTTTTGTGGTTTGATTTAGACAGATTTGTCATTAGAAGGTGAAAGGCAGCAGAAA